CCCCAAAACCCCAAAACCCCAAAACCCCGAGTTGTATCAACTATGTTGAAAGGATATTCAGGCTAATATAAGCTCCAATGAGAAGACATATACAGGAAGCGGTGACTCTAGAGAAGAGCAAAATCTCTTGTTCATACGTATAAGCAATAGACTAGTTTTATGTCTAATTACGTCTATTTTGGTTAGGGAGGACATAGAGCATATTTCTAGAGGTAGTTCTATAATTTGTGGATCTGGCTTATTATATACAATTTCGTTTTCTAGAAGCTTTACTAATAATGCAAAATGAGTTATGTCGGGATATCTAAATGCTACATATGTTAAATGAAAATGATGACTAAAAGAGCCCAACCCATGCTTAGTACCTGCGTAAGGAATAAACCTCTGAAAATTTATTTATGAAGGAAAATTCTTCTCTTTACTGCTCCTGACTTCTTCAATTTTGTTGCATTTTTGGCACCTTGGCAGAAGATATGGTCAAAATTTTCAAACTTGCAAACTATAGGAGTCCTAATCGACTGCAAAAGTGCGTTATTAAAGAGGGTTCTATTAACCCTGTTATTTTGGTTTCTAGACTGTTCCTTCAGACTTTTCATCTCTTTAGAGTAAGGATTTGATTGCCTAATTCTCGAAGCTTTTCTTGAATAGCTCTTAGCCAGGCTCTAAATGATAAACTAGCTTTAGTGAACAAATGTATAATTTCTGCACAAAATCAAGCCAATTTACCTCTTTAGTATTTTTAAATTTATTTAAAAGCTGCTTTGATCGGTTATTTGAAACATTATCATCAATCTGACAACTAGAAATAGCTTTAGAAGCTCTCTTATTTGATACTGACCACTGGAACAGTTGCCTTGTGAGTACTGTGTTGGCCTCTTAAATCAAGCTGTGAAATTCCCCCAACATTTGGGTTATCAACACTGAAGTTAAGCTAGAATATTACCTCTTTAGAAGATGTGCTGGCCTTTCCTTCTGAGTGTTATTTCATCATAACTTTAACTAATGGAGAGATCTGGACTGGTCACTCCGAGGAATTTGGAAGGTTAGCAGAGTTCTTCCGCTGAGAGACTGGTTTTCACTCCTGACTCTTCTTTGGACTCAATGCTGAACTTGAGTGTCTCTTCATCGAATATATCCGTATAAGGGAAGAGCTCATAAATCAGCTCCTGTTTGACCTCCTCCTTACTACTTGTGGGGTCATTTTAGAGGGCTGAGCACTGGTGCCTATTGCTTCTTAATCTAGGGATTACCTGAATGGCCTGCATTTTTGTTTGGATGCAAGAAAATACTGCTATTTAGGCTAATTTATTACTAAGAAAATACTCACTTTTGGCTTTTGAGAGGAACTCAGAGTTATAACTTCATAGGTTTATTTCTGTACTTTTCTTGGATGCCTTCTCAAACATGAGACAGAAACTTACTCTTCAAGGCAAGCTTGACGCTAATGCTGGTACAATTAACTTTGTTCTAACCGTAAGATGAAAAGATGGTACCGTGACGTCTATGACTTTTAGGTGATTATTTCTGCCCTTCTCTCTAAACATGAATGATGGCTTGGCCATTTCAGCCCTGACCTTGCTGAGAATGGTTTTAGGGCGAAATACTGTATTTTCTGCCATGTTTAATAAATCCTGTTTATTTTGGGGTTTTGGGGTTTTGGGGTTTTGGGGTTTTGGGG